TTCATTTGCAAGTGTGGTATGCCTACATTACCCCGCTAGTTCGAACTAGCGGGGTAGTGTAGACATACCCTGGGAGACAGACCCATAGTCTCCTATAGACAACCACCTAACCTCAAGATGATTCTTACCAACAACCACAGGACATACCACACTAATACCAACCCTGGTACTTTCCCTTGCAACAAACCCCGTTGTCAGCTTTGTCCACATATTCGCTCTGCTGACACCATTATTGGGTCTAACCAAGTGAGTTATAAGATCAAGAATACATATTCCTGCGCATCCAGAAATATAATTTATGCTATCATGTGCCAAAAGTGTCTGTCTACTTTGTACATTGGATAAACGTCTCAGACACTTCGCCAAAGGATCAATGCCCACAAAACAGATATTAGACAGGATCACAAAGAAAAAACAGTTGCTTGCCATTTCAACCAGAAAGGACACTGTCTGAATGACCTACTCACCTGCATCCTACTTCAGAAGACATTCAAATCTGCACTTGAAAGAGAATCCTCTGAACTGGCATTCATGCTAAAATTCGACACTCTCCGTGGGGGCATGAACAAAGACTCCAGCTATCTTACCCATTACAAAGATAGCTTCCCTAATTATCACCTCTAACACTATTAACTCACAGACATCTACCCTTCCCCACCTCTAATATCATTAACTCACAGGCATTCAACTTCCTTCCTCCCCTCCCCCCCCCGCATCCCCCTTCTGTTCTGAAATGTGATTTGTCCTTTTCATATGTGTTCACTTTTTTTAATTGTATCCTTTGGTATATATGGCTGTGACTATTTTCTTCCACTATTTGATCTGAGGAAGTGGGTTTGGCCCACGAAAGCTCATTATCTAATAAACCATCTTGTTAGTCTTTAAAGTGCTACATAGTCCTGTATTTTGTTTTAGCTACACCAGACTAACACGGCTACATTTCTATCACTATTGCCAAAGTTCAGTGTGACAGGTCCCCCATCCACTCTAATATAGATGGTGGGTGGTTCCCAGATTAGCTCAGAGGTTCTGATAAGCAGAAAGCATTAAGGGTAGATGACTAAACTCAAGCTCTTGAGCTCAGGGTGTCAGGCTCCCTGTGAGCATTCAAGTCATTGTACTGAGCCACATTAGCAAATACAGTCATCTCAAGGCAGTTACAAAGCTGCAGCTGAGTCTGTTTGAGCAGAGGTTTCTGTGCCACGGTGAGAACTCATCGCAAAGTTCAAGTCGCACTTATTTCAATGGACGCAGAGTTCAGCAGCCCCCGGCGTGATATTTGCACCATTCCTTTGGTAGATCAGAGTCTAAGGTCCGCCTCTCATAAAAAGGGAATTTACACATACTCAGCTGACTTCGCCTTGCCCTTTGGATGGACACATCGACAGCATGCGTGGGTTCAGTGCTCTCTCCTATTTCCTCTTTATTCTTTTGTGTCAGCGCACATTTGAAACAAGACAACTCAGAGCTGCTGCCATGAACTTTGGTTGCAGAGTGAACTGTTTGCTCTGGCTAATCAGGAAGTATTATCTCATCTCCAAAATCAACAATTTGCCTGCTTAAACTGAATGACCCGATGGCTGAGATAATGGACACTAACAAAGCACAGAGCAACGTAAGATTAGAAAAAAAGAATCACACTGCCTGGTCCCTGCCCCATACTGAGGGTGTCTGATGTTGCCCAGCATGGTACATTCCCTCATCCAAGGAAAATAGGTGAACAGTTGAGCTACTGAAATACCTCTTTGTAGGCAGACAGAAAAAAGGTTGAGACCCCAGCTCAGCAAAGCATTTCAACATGCTCCTAAATCCCACTTACTTCAATGGGACTTAAAATGCAATGTTGATTTGGGATCATATAATCAGCACATAGGAAAACACAAGGCAGCATTCCAAAGCCCAGTTACATTACTAGAATAGTGAAAAAGATGCAGCCATGTTAGTCTGGTGTAGCTGAAACAAAAGCAGAACTATGTAGCACTTTAAAGACTAACAAGATGGTTTATTAGGTGGTGATGAGCTTTCGTGGGCCAGACCCACTTCCTCAGATCAATATGTGGAAGAAAATTGGCACAACCATATATACCAAAGTGATACAATCAAAAAAAAGTGAACACATGTGAAATTGACAAATCAAATTTTAGAACAGAGTGGGGATGAGGGGGGAAGGTAAGTTTCTGTGAGGTAGTGACATAGGGGTGATAATAGGGGAAGTTTCTGTGAGGTAATGACATTAGGGGTGATAATTGGGGAAGCTATCTTTGTAATGGGTGAGATACTTAGAGTCTTTGTTTAAACCCATACATAAAGTGTCAAATTTAAGCATGAATGACAATTCTGAAGCTTCTCGTTGAAGTCTGGAGTTAAAGTCTCTTTGAAGCAATATGCATGTTTTAAGGTCATTAAGTGAATGATCAGTCTGGCTGAGATGGCAGGCAACCACTTTCTCTCTGTGAGAGAGTCTTATGTCTGTTGTGCATGCATTGATTCTTTGGCGAAGTGTCTGAGACGTTTGTCCAATGTACATAGCAGACGGACACTTTAGGCACATGATGGCATAAATTATATTTCTGGATGAACAGGAATATGTGTCCTTGATCTTGTAACTGGCATGGTTAGGTCCAATAATGGTGTCAGCAGATATGTGGAAAAAGCTGGCACCAGAGTTTGCTGCAAGGGAAAGTTCCAGGGTTGGTATTAGTGTGGTATGTCCTGTGGTTGTTGGTAAGAATCATCCTGAGGTTAGGTGGTTGTCTATAGGAGACTATGGGTTTGTCTCCCAGAGCCTCTCGGAGTTTAGTATCCTGTTCCAGTATAGGCTGGGGGATTT